TCACAAACACTTAAACGGGTGTTGGAACCGAATCCGTATAGAACTGCGCCGTCATCGTCTCCATGGGGTACGACGGAAGTACTGGATGACGACAGCTTCCCAGGGAAGCGCAAGAAGAAAGTCCATGAGTCGAAATCCCACATGTGGAACTCAATGGCCAGAATGCAGTCCCCTGCAAAGTTCAGTGACATAAGCCGACTCAATCAGTCAGTATCGTTCTCGCATTGACGGGAAACGACTTCGACTGATTTGTTTGATTACTTACTTCCAGCGATCTCTTGTGTACCAGCATTGCATCTACATCGAACTCCATTGCAGACGATGTGGATACCGCGACGTACAACTGCTTATCGTCTTTTGCTGTGAGGACTACTCCCCACTTTTCTTCGAACCCGATCTCTACAGCCCTTTTAGGTGAAGAAGCAACATAATTCCGGTTACTCCGCTCTTATAGGGGATCAAACTGGCTGGCTGTATTCATATACCACGGAACTCCCCCATCTACGTACTCGAGAGTTGTTTCTCGGCGCAGATGTAAGTGTAAAGTGTGTATCACATGAAAGTAAGAGACTCAATCAGCTGGAACGCAGGTTCTCTCTGTATGCTATTCAGACGAGTTCAAGATGTGTGTCGTTGGCTGTCCTGATCGATGGACTATATACTGACAAATTTGTTGACGAAGAGCAGTCCCATTCGGTCCTTCCTGTGAGTTTGCCATTCAGAGCTTAGCACCAGGTTATCTGGAGTAAGTGATAGTTTCATGAAAGTTGCATTGTCACTGACGGGTTGGCTTGAAGTGTCTGGTCAATATCACGTATCATGAATAAGAACTGCTACGACGTTCGAGCGGCCCACCTCGAAGGCCATAGTCTTCTTCTCGGTATGTCACCTGTCTTCCTGCTCAATATTACCGCTCAAGGGTCCCTTCTTCAGGTGCAGCTGGTCGAGGTGTTCTACTGCCCGACATCAACACCATAGCCGGAACACATGGCACCAACTGCGAACTGCTCCGCACAGACAGCGACGTTCTCGCAGTCTACCAAAGAAACGTACTGCATTCCGATCACTACTCCCTTCACCTATCCAAGTACTGACGAATCATCGCCGTAGAGGTTCGCATATGCCGGATGTCGCAACGGCGCCATCTTTTGTTTCGACAAACGGCTGGGCTCGAGGACGATCAATGGGCAAGCGATGTTTGGAGGTAAATCCAGCGGCTCGGACCTCTCCATCTCGAACAAGTCCGTTACACATCTGAGTGTTGTGCGTGAATGGGAGTTACTTGTGAGCACGATACGTGGCGACGTACGTCCCCCATTCCTGTCTTTACCAATCCCGTACTTGAGCTGATCTCTACATTGGATTAGCTGGAGATGTACGACCTCAGGTTTGCACGGACCCCGACTCCAGTCATGCGGTTCGAAGGACACGTGAACTCCTATCGTCAAAAGCTAGTACGTGAATTGAGTGAAAGCGCACCCCATTGACAGTGACACCCACCCACCTCACACACAATCATCTCACAGGGTATCGCCGTCTCTCCTTGTCAAAGCATCCTCTTCGCAGCAGGAAGCGACCACCGAATCCGCGCATGGTCCCTTCGCTCCGGCGACCCCATCGACCCTCCTTCGTCGTCTCCCATACCCGAATCACACGCACCACTCCACAATCCCTCACACCGCCCTCATCCGTCGCTATTCAACGACGCGTTCCCTGGTGATATCATGGAGTTACAGGTCACAGGTGATACCGGCGGTGAGAAGGAGAAGGGGCTTTGTCTGTGGGTTGCTAGTGGGTGTACAGTGTATAGGTATTGGTTGGGAATGCAGGGATTGGAATGATGATCTTCATTGGCTGAACGGATCGGATTCTGAACACATCGCAAACACTGAATATTGGAGAGACTGGGAAATTACAAAAGCGATTACTGGTATAAAAATCTAAGGGGGTATTTCTCCGATTATACTGTCCGAGACTGGGATAATGTAGCTCTACCATTCCTTGTCACATTCCACAGAAACCAGGCCCTATCCAATGGATCGTTGCTCCCGTAGCTTCACGTTGTCTGAGAGGAGACGGGCGCGAGAGATGCGTCAAGCGCTCTTACTACACAGAGGGTCAGCACCACGCACATGTCGTGAGCAGAACTGCAAAATCATACCTACTTCAATTGCCGTACTAGAAGACGCCTTCCCAGGCGAGTCAATCGCATGGATCCGCCTCGACCCCAACGCCGCTAGCGGTTGCGCCTGTTGAGGAGCCCACGGCTGAGCAAGCGGAGTATGCCCATACAAATACGACAGAGGGTTCGAAAACGAGGTCGTGTTTGGGATGCTGGCGGTGCTATGGTCGCTTCGGCCAGCCCGGGGCCTGCCGCCGCCTGGATACACAGACGTTGAATGGGACTGGAGACTCGGCGCGAAGGACATGTTGAATGTGGATCCAGAGGTCGTTCTTGCGTGGCCAGCATTGAGTAGAGGGGTCTGAGAAGAGGAGGCGTGCGTCCCGACTGGATCGGCGAGAGGCAGAGAGACGTCATCGGCATCCTGGTAGACGAACAGACTGGCGTAGTCCATTTTGACAGAAACTGGAATTTTTTGAGGGTATTGCGCGGAAGGGCCGGGGTCACTTGGAGGTAGTGTGGCTTGCGTCACGTAGGAGGGAGGGAACGGATATCCTAGTACGTCGGGTAGAGGCGTATACGCAGCTTCGGCTTCTTGGAGGAGTTGACTCAGGTAGGCGTTGTTGGATTGGCTAGGATCGAGCTCTGGTATCTCGACAGTGGGATCCATGTAGCTTGAGAGCAAGTCTAGCGTAGGAACCGAGGGAAGGGACGTCAAGGTTGCAGGTGGTACGACAATGTCCATAGGTGAGTCATGCTCCTGAGGGTCTTCATGGGTTGCAGTCTCACTCGAATCAAGGTTAAGCTCTTCTGGAGCTGGCTCTGCAGGATGATTGTCGGTCTGAGGTTCTTGAGCAGGCGTGCCATACGGAAACACTAGAGGAATATATCCCAGGGATGGAGAACGAGTCATGGAACGCGAGAGAGAATGTTGGCTATCAGAAGAATCAAGAACGAATTCGAAACGGGACTGTGTCGCCGTAGAAGCCGCCAGATATGGGGTTGGAGCCAAGAGAGACTGAGAGCCGTTACTGCCAGAAGCCAGACTGGAATGATCGGTAATGCGAGAGGTGTCATACATGTGTGGCTGGAATTCCTCGGCGTGGACGTTATTTGCGCACGACACCTGCGGTTTGTGGGCATACGTGCTTGAATACGTATTTCTGAACTCCAGGGAGGGAAGAACTTGGATGCTCGAAGAGGTGTCCGGGGGATTGGACTGAAATGAGGTATCTAGAGTCATTATATGTGAAGAGGACGGGGCGGATGAGGCGGGCGGTGATGTGCTGAAGGGCGGACTGCCCCGCTTCCTGCCCCGTTTTTCTCGGTACATCCAGCGACGAATCCACGGCTCCGACCTAAGCTATGTCTGAAAAATGCAGAAAAAGATCATTGAATGGGAACGTACAGTCCTGTGTGCTCCGCTGCAATCTGGACCTGACCGTCGTCGGCGTTCATGGAATCATAGACCGAGAGGAGGTAGCCTAGTTGAACGTCGTTTGCCTTTGTCATCGTTCGGACACGCTTGATAGAGGGTCCATTGTCGCTGCTGTGTGCATCGTCCATGTCTGCTTTTCGTCGAGAGCGACGCGTCGTCACTGGCATCCTCGACCGTCGGAGTGGCAAGAAGTTGAGGAACCAGGGCGCTTTGTATTTTGAACCCACATGTCCTTTTGGAAGGTTGTTCCCACAGTCATTGAGGCAAAGTTCAAGATAGACTTTTCTGAATCACCGGCGGGCCAGGAGCAAACGGTAACGCATAATGTATTGATATCAGAGCAAGGTTCGATACATGATGAGGGAAACGAATATTTAGTTATCGTTCGCAGCGTCCTTGGGTGCCTGTCCAGACTACGACCTTCACTGTCAGCGCCATAGGGGAAAGAGAGACAAGTAACGCGTACCTTGGAGCGTTCGCGGGCTTCACCCAAGTCGTTGGGGGACTCCTCGGTTTGTGCGGAGGGCTTCTCCTTCTGTTCAGTCTCGGCAGTCTCTGGGTCAGCGCCCTCTGGCACAGCAGGCTCCTCGGGTTTCTGTAGACCGGAGCGGTCGCAATTCATCGAATATTCATGCGTGGTGAGCTTACGAGGGTGTGTACAAAAGGCAAATACTCACGGGCTCTTCTGGTGTACTTTCGCCTTCGGGTTGCTCACTCTTTCCCTCCTCGGAAGCTTGGGCATCCTTGGGAGAGTCGTCGTTCTAAAGCGTCCAAATAGTCAATAATGGTGCATGTATGTCGCGAAGAAGAGACGTACAAAAGCAGCCTTCGCAGAGTCTTCGACCTCCTTGGCGGGAACCTCTGTTCCTTCGTCATCCTTCACGGGGAGGGGCGTGTCTGGAATGGGGGTATGTGGTGTTGGGTTGTGCTTGGGCAAGGATGCATGGTGCGCGTCGTGGGCCTTTGCTTTTGCGGGAGGGGACAAGAGGTAGACAGCCTAGACTGCCAGGTCAGAGAGGAAACATTTCCCACAACATGACGGGACGTACTGCTGGACCAAATACGAGTGCTGAGGCAATCTGCAGCGCGCGTATGAGTATATTTCTATCACTGCTGCAGTTCTACGTACGATCCATGGCTTGTCACTCTTCGGTGTGCTGTGAGCAGAGGAGCTCATGGACCTCCTAGACGCATTTTGGGCGTTGAAACGCAGGTTGGGGCGGGCCAGCTGGGCGAGAGCGCGTCGTCCAAGTCGGGATGCCATGTCCGCTCGCTGGATGAGGTGTCGGTGGGAGGAGAGTGGGAGGAGTGCGGGGGTCGAACGGTTGGAATTATGCAGAAAGCCGATCTCGCCGATGACGTTCAAGGGACACAATATTTACCGACGAATTTCCCACCGTGCCTTCCCGACTTGTTTGCTTCGTTTGCTTGTGATTTCAAGCCCGCCTAGCTCAATCGGATAGAGCGTCAGACTTTTACGCATATGGCGGGTGTGGAAGCAGATCCATAATCTGAAGGCTGCGGGTTCGACCCCCGCGGTGGGCTAGTTTCTTTTTCTTTTATATAAATACAGATTGATAGTAGAGATGCGTACAATGATGAGGGAAGAGTTTTGCGAAGCTGGAAGAGTTTGAGGAGGGAAAATGCGCTCAGGCGCCCATGCAGTTCTGACATTTCTCTGTGACAAGACTTGTGTCCTTCTCCTCGAATGTTGTTGCATCCTTTCTCGCAGGCAGGGCCAGCAACGTTCTAGCTTTCATTCTTATCTATCACAAATCTCGTCTCTCCTTTCCTATCTACACAAAATATCAATCTCAAGACACCGGCATGTCTACCAGCCCGCGGACTTCCTCCAGCTCAGACTCCTTTCACTCCGACCACTCTGGAGTACACGCATATGACTCGTCTGCAGCTCTCATCGTCGTCCATGACAACGAGGAACCGGAGTACGATCCGACCTCCTTTGACTTTAGCAGCGACGATGAAGAATCAGAGGAGGACGAACAATACGAACGGTTACGTTCCTCCTCTGTCCCTCCCCTGCCGGCGACGTCGGTCTTCCTCTACCTCTTCTCCCCACTCCTCAAGCTTGGCGCCATCCAACTATTTGACGCGAGCAAGGGTGTGCAGCTGAAGTGGGCGATCACGGCGTTGGTTGTCTTCGCCGCACTGTGTGCATTGACGAGACATGTTTGGCACATGCTCGCAAAGTATGTGCGGCGGGCAGACATGGAGGCCATCCTTTTGGAGACCTTCGCAAGGGGGAGAGGCAAGGAAGGGTTGAGGAACGCTATCCGACGGACGGTCAGAGTCAGTGTGGGTTTGTTCCGTGTACTGCTGGCGATTGTATATCTACGAGGTGCGCCCTCCTGTTCTTGCGTATTAATCCTCTCTAACAACAGTAATTCTCATAGCATCTGTGGACGTTCTCCTCCCATTATTCCCCCACTTCCGTCTCATCCATGTCCGCGCACCCTTGACGGTTGTGCTCGCACTGTGTATCGCACCATTGTGCCTCCCCAGGTCCCTGGCCGGATCGAGTGTATTGTACACAACTTGGGCGTCTGTCGTCACATTTGTAGCATGGCTTATCTCTATGGCGTACGCCCATGCGAAGGGCATACGCACCACCAACCCAACCTCCGAATCACTGGGGATTCTCTGGCAAGGCATCAGTACGTGTATCACGTCAGGTGTATATCACGAGCTAAAGGGGGCTATGGCATGACAGGCATATTCGCGTTTGCGTTTGCAACCACAAACACACTTCCGCTTTATGCGGCACTCAAGGGCTCTCTCCTCCCCGGTCAACCCAAACCGAGACGCACCCGACGGTTCACACTACTCTCCCTCATGTCTATCGGTCTTGCGGCATTATTGATCCTCCCACTTGTATTCTTCGGACAGCCATCCCAGCCGGTACGTCCTCTTGACCTCTAGATCTCTTGTATGATACAATACCAACGATAGTACCACTCACAGGACACCCGGTACCGAAAGCCAACTTTCACCTTCCGGACCGTACTGGCATTCTTTCACGCCTCAACCTTGGCTTTGAGCATCCCCTCCATCATCATTACGACACCCGAACTTCCTCTTCCTCTGTCCATCCGCCGATCAGCCACTTTCCAGGTCTCAAAGGTGTTGTTGTACACAATCATAGTCAGCGTCTCGTTAGTCCCTGTCGAAATCCTGAGAGTCCTCAGTGACGTGGTGTTCGTCCTGGCATTCGTCAGCACGTACATGCTTCCAGGTAATAATATCTCTAATGACAAAAACTCACCGCTCACAATTTCATTCAAAAGGTCTTATTCACATCGTAATCCACACATTCCGCCGTCCCCTCGCCATCGTCATCCCCCCAAGTACACCCATCACCCCGTCCTCGTCTCAAGCGTCCAATCCGTACCCGCCAGAATCCCGAACGGACGAACTCCTGCAACGGAAAGAGCGGTTATTGCAGAGGAAAAGACTCGGGAAGAGACTGGTGTGGGATATTGGCGTGTGGGTGTTGTTGCTTCCTGTGGGTGGTGGAGGGCTGTTGTGGTGCGTCGGGAGGATTGCGGGGAAGTGGTGATGGGTGTGTGAATCTGCATTGTTCCAACCGAGCGGGTGAACCTCGATATGTATCTTCCAGGGTTTGTGATGCTTCCCATCTCTTGTTTTCACTGTCGTTGACCATGTTTCCTCCTACGTTTCTTTCATCTCTCGCCCTGTAAAGTAGTAGATATAGACACTTGGTCTCATCTTAAGGCAGGGACTCGTGCGACGCGCCTTTGAGATATGCGTCACACCAGCAAGTGGCGAAAACGGACGAAAGAAATACAGCGAATGAATACAATACAGTATCGTATCTCAGCAAAAGATGGGAATAAACGGTTCTAGTGGACAGCAAGGAAATACGCAGAAGAAAGTCCATACCCCTCATGCACCCTAATCGTCCCCCTTCTTCAACTTCTTCTTCGCCGGACCATCATCATCGTCCTCCTTACGATTCTTCGGCGTCGGTTTAGGCCTCGGTTTCGCTTTCGGCTTTTCCTTGTCCTTGCCGTCGTCATCCACATCCATCGCGCTGTCGTCCTTCTTCGCTTTGGGTTTCGGCTTGGGCTTCGGTGCGGCTTTCTTCTTTGGCGCGTCCTCCTCAGCGTCGCTGTCGGCGCTGCCTTTGCTCTTCTTCGCCGGTGCTTTCTTCTTTGCGGCTTTGCCTTTGCCTTTGGATTTCATGAAGTCGCGGTCGCCGCTCGCGTCGGATGCGGTTTGGCCGCCTTCGTCTGAGTCGTCTGATTCAGAAGGCGAGCCTGCGTCTGATGATGAGGCTTCAAAGTCCTCGTCTATGAAGATGCAGGGAATGGATCAGAAGGTCGTGTCTCTGTGAGATCAATCTGAAGAACGTACCCTCTTCTGAATCATCGTCGTCACCACCCATCCTCGGTTTCGGCGCCTCCTCCCCACTGCTCGCCACACTCTGCATCTCCTCATCGTCATCGTCGACGTTCATGATCAACTCCCCCTCCATCATCTCATTCTTCACCTTCACCTTCTTCTCCTTCAGGTACGTCTCCGTGATCTCATGCTCCTCCTTGTTCACCGACGTGAACGAGTACTCCGGCCCGCTCTTCGTCACGATCTTCAGGTCGAACGTCCGCGCGGCGGTGGCACCCATCCCTGCTCCGAGACGAGAGAAGACGACCTGGTAAATGTCGGAGAGCTCGATGAGCGTAGGTTGTTTTGAGACGAAGAAGATGTATTTTTCGAGCATGAAGAGGTCGCCCTGGACTGCTTTCAGGTTGGCTTTGATGCCCGGATGACCGTCGCGACTACAAAATCGGTCAATGAAATGCTGCGCGTGAGATGTTTAGATACGTACCTCTGGAAGCTGCCAGCACCAACAATCTTCTTCCCTGATAATGCCCTGAACACTCCGGAGACAACCTCGAAGGTTGGGGCTTCATATGACTTTTGCAGCCTGTCGTATTTGGCAATCTCATCCCTAAATCATCGTCAGTAGCGCAATGCAGCGATCCGTCAGGAGCGAGACTCACTCCGATAGGTTCAATTCAGCAGTAATCTCCTCTTCCCGACTGAATTGCATGACCAGGTACTGGTACCGTGTCTGACCCTGACGGATCGGGGTATTGAGAGCAAGCTGACGGAGCACGCGTTAGAGTACTAGACATGCTAACTCTGAAACAGACACGTACAATGAACAAGACGTGCAGGTCATCCTTCGGGAGAAGGAAGAGTTTTGAAATACTGGAGAACATGATCTTGTAGTCATAGGTTTTTCCGCGCAGCCGCAAGAATTCTGGGAACATATCCACATCGTAACGACCTCTTGGTGTGAGCACGTTGACTTCCTCGAAGCTCAAAATGATATCTCCAGCAACCTGACCAATCTCGGCCTTTTCTTTGACGGCGTCGTGGAATGCCTGAGCGGCGCTGACCTCTTCTCCGTCGTCATCGTCGGAGGGCTGGGAGCCTGCGTCTGAGCCGCGTGGTTCCTTCGCCCGTGTTCCAGGGACATAGAAGCGGATCTCTACCATCTCGTCCGGAGAGCTTTTAGATGCCTTCTTGCTGGACGGGGCAGCGAATTCGAGGGAAACCTCGGTACGACCGGCGATGTTCGAGTTCGCCACGTGGGTCAACGGGAGCTCGAAGGACGTCTTGTTGGACACCAAGAAGGCAAGATCTTGTCCTGTGGCGCGAAAGGAGAAGTGCAACCCTAGGTTTGCGAAAGATTTCAAGGTGTGATTCAGGGTATATGCGTACCTTGGAAGTCCGTTACTCCCCAATTCCAGCCCTTGAAAGAAGTCTCCTTCGTCTCCAATGTCACGCTGAAGTGCTGCTTCATGAGCTGTGCCAGTTTGTCATGATCCTGTAGATTGTTAGCATAGCCTCTATTGGTGCAAATAATTTCATACCCACGCACCTCTCGTGCAAACCCGTCGAATGTAGCTCTCGTCCTATCCTTCAGTCCGATTCTGAGTTGGAAGTTTCTGGCAACCCTGATCCACTGAGCCCATTTAATGTCTCCAGCAGCAAAAGCAGTCAAGGCATTAGTTTCATCTCCCTTCCAACCTATGCCACTGCTGGCAATTCGGATTTCTATTTATGAGTATGTTTAGAAACGTCTGCAATAGATTATGAGCGACACAGGAAGGACTCACTGCCTACTTCTGGCCCCAGACCATTGTATATCCTCACAAACTCCGTAGTCATAACTTTTGGGTCTTAATTGTGGTGGTCGGAAGGGAAAGAGGACAGAGAAAGCAGAAACAGAAAGCCCGGTAATGGCGACGCGTTGCGGAGTTTGAAGGATCACGTGGCTCATTCTCGGCGCGTCATGGCAGGATTTCCCTTTGACCCTGAACCAGATAATCTTCCTCATCCAGCCACCAAGATCCTGTCTAACTTGATACCCTACCACTGCTATTTCGCGATCGTATAGTATCCGACTTAAACGCAGTAAATACCCGCGTGGAGAGACGGTAATCAGGAGCGGATGGAATCGTTGGAAACACGGTCTCGCGATGTCCAAGAGCGGA